GACCCCGCGCGCCCGGGTTTTTGTCAGCAGTCCTCTCCCTCTCTCCAGACTCCTGGTGGCGTCGACGGTGGTCTGCCCGAGGGCGAGGACAGCCGCTGCGACGAGGACGAGGCCGACCTCGACAGCGACGGCGACGACGAGGATTGGAACGCTGTGCTCGCCGAGATCGAGGGCATGGACTTGCTCGAGAATCAGGTGGGCGAGGTGCCCGCCATGATAGAAGCTCGTGCCAGAAATGGAAGCAGAACAGCGAGTCGAAGCGAGCGGCCAAGAAGGACCGATAATACTTCGGTCCCGAGCCGAAGAACGATGACCGAGCGCCTCTTCCACCTCGGCCCCAGATCGCAGCGCGAGGCAGTGGTCGAGGTGATCGACCTCGCGGCAGGGGTGGAGGTCGCGGCCGGCCCCGGGGGCGCTTGTCCCCCGAGGGCCGAGGAGCTCATGAAGGTGACTCGCTGTGACATCTGCAAGGGGCAGGGCCATTGGGAGCGCGAGTGCCCGGACAGAGACCGCGCGAAGGACGGCGAGACTCGAGGGAGGCGAGGCCGAGGCATCTCTGCCTACATGTTCGACGGGGCCGTCTCGAGCAACGCCGTCGACCTGATGGCCGCGCGCAGCTCGAAGGCACCAGAGATCGAGGTCTCTCAGGCAGCCTGGGGCGAGAGGCGCGACGGCCAGATGGCGATGGCGTGTTCATCGTGGCCGAGGCCACCCGGGGCCTCGTCGATCCGGGCGCTGGCAGTGACCTCGTCGGCGCGCAGGCGCTTGAACCGTGAGGCCGAAACCCTGGCCAGTCACGGCCTCGGGTGCGCGGCGATCCCCGAGGAGTCGACCGACGAAGGCAGCTCGTGCATGGGGCCGGAGGAGCGGCCAAGGTGATCAATGTCATCTTGTCCCCGCCGTGCCTAGGCGGGGCGCTGGGGGCGATCGAGGCGACCGCTTTGCTCCAGAACGCGCCCCACTTCCTCGGCGTCAATCTATTCGACTTCCTGGGCTGCGTCATGGACCCCCCGAAGAATGCCATGCGCTCCGAGGCGCTCGACCAAGAGCTGCCGATGTCCAAGCTGGGGTCGGGCCGCGGTCCGGTGGAGATTGTCCGGCAGCTCGACGGGCGCAAGATCCCCGATGGCGCACCGCCCCGCAACCCCTTTCTCACCAACCGTTTCTTTTCGCCCTGTCATGCGTGGCGATGGCTCTGTCTCGCGGCGCATCCTTCTCTTCCTGCGCCGCTTCCTTCTGGGTCTCTGGGTGCCAAGGCGTCTGGGGCATGTCCGGGGGCGAGGTGGGAAGGGTCATGTCGAGGGCTTGCGGTCGAGGCGATCATCATGTAGGGGCTACGTCTTCGGGAAGGACCACCGCGTCGGGCTCGCTGGCCTCTCGAGACTCGCGAGGAAGGAGGTCTTCGTCGCGGGCTCAGCGGGCTCGCTCCGGGGCCCAGGGCCTAGCGCCCGGGGAAGTGCCGGGGCACGGTGCCAGCTCGGGGCGGTCAGGAAATGAGTTAGGGACTTCAGTTGTGCGCGCGAGGGTCCGCAGCGGTATCCGGCTCGAGCATTCGCTCTTTTAGCTCTCAGCCTTCGCGCCGTTCGAGATTCAGTTCTCCCTCTCAGTTCAGCCATGTCACCGGCAATGCCCGCGGCAGCGCTCTGCGCCTGCTGGGCGGCGCGGTTTTCAGTGGCAGGCGAGATGGGAGACGCCCTTGGCCAAGGCCGTGACTGGGGCCTTCCTGGCGGCTCGCCGGGAGCAGTTGGTCGAGGCGACCAATCCTGGAGGAGGGGCCGCGCCCGGCAGCGGACCGGCGGCGGCAGGTCATAGGGCATCTCTGCTTCCTCAAGCGACGGCCCAGGCGGTGGTCCAACAGTCTCGGGCAGGAGCGGAGGCAGCCCCGATGGCGGTGGGGGCCCAGGACGGGGCCCCAGTGGCGGCAGCAGCAGCATCGAGTCTCTCTTCGAGGGGCCCAGCGCTGGCGCTGTGGAACGCAGCAGCCTTCGCCTCAGAGTGGCCTCCGGGCTGGGCGGGTCAGCCGATGGCCGAGGCCCAGACCCAATGGGCGGCCCTGGCGGCTGCGGCGGACGGGCAGGCATTCCAGTCAGGAGGATGGCGTTGTCAGCCATGCTGCCTCCCACCTGAAGGAACGCTTCGGTTAGTAATAGTTAGCTGGAGTTATAACTAGTTAGTAACTCGTTATGACTAGTTACAGTGGAGTTTTTGGAGTGACATGTTTGTTTTGTTGGCTTGTACTTGAGGTTTTTTGGAACGTGATCTTTTGTTGAAGATTGCATGTTGTGTTATTTGCATATCGATTTTTGTAAAGCATGCGCTAACATAACAATTTACGGTATTCCACTGGCCAAATGCACGTGATATGATCGCCAACTCCCCTGTAAACCACTGTAGATTTCAACGAACTGAAGGGGGTGAGAACGGGGTCGCGGGCATCATCGATGACATGCCTAGAGAAGTGTTCGCTCGCATGCACGTGCTTTGTAATCAGAATATGAACTGAGCTCTGCGGCGGATCGCCGTCGCATTTCACGTGGAACCACACTTGGATTGCAGCGTGGCCGCGATCGCGACCCATCAAAACTATGTCACCGCGTGTGATTTTCCCTCCGTGTCTGGTGTGCGCTTCAATGTCGAGACTGCTGCATGCGTGCCTGGCCGCAGCTGCTGCAAAGCACTCAACAAACGTTTGCTTGCAGCTGTTGCGCACTCGAACTCGCACTCCAGTGACAACCCGCGGATGTTCTGTAGATCATGCATGTGCTGAGCCGCGAGCTGGATCATTACAGCCTTCTCGGGCCTCGTCTTGCACAGGTGGTCCTCTGCAAATCTTTTGACGTGTTTGTGTTTCCGCTCTTGGACAAACCATGATACAGCTCCATGCCTCTCAAACGTACCAGCCAAGTGGATAGCCATGTGATGCTTATGCGCCCAATACTTGGCACCATTTGCACGCTGGTGAAGCTCCAAATGTTTCAGCGCTGCTGACTCAACCTCGTCGCGCGTGCATGGCAATCGCCTCGACGCGCAGAGAATAACATCCACGGCGCCACATAACGCCATCATGCTTGCTATCTGGTTTGCGACTGCATCGCATGACAGTGCACTGGCAATGACTTGCCTGATGGATGCATAGAGCCAGCACGGGAATCGCAGCTAGCTCTTGCGAGGCACTCGCCTGGAAGTATCGCGTTTCCCAGACTGTTGCAGCAGAGTGGTGTTTGGATGGCCATGTCCACTTCCTGAAGTAATCGTGGAGGTCGTCGACGCTGCGCAGTTTCTTGAAATCTTTGTGCTCTGGGGGGGCCCTGACTTCCCGATCAAAAATGCCACTAACGAAATATACGTGCATCCAATCGAAGCAGAGGAATGTCATCACCAAGTATCTAAGAAACGGGTCCAGTGCGACATGCGTTGGATAGAAATTCCAACCTTTCACCTGCGTCACAGATGTGTACTGCGCGTCTGTGAGCTCGTCTCGCTGGTACCTCTCCCAATCAGGGCGCAACCTCTCCAAGATCGCGACGACTGCCGCGTCGGTGTTGTATGCGAGTTTGCTTTTGTCAAGGCAGTTATCATCGACGTATGTCCCCGAACTGTCGAATTGCGTGTGGCCGAATTTCTTGTTACGGACCAGCGTGCCCCTTGTTCATATGAAGCTCCCTCAATGCCTCCTCGTCTCCTATGACACACGCCAATCTCGCAGCTAGGTCTGCGTATGTTGTTGCGTCACCCAGCGCAGATACATCCAGCGTAGCCCCCGTTGTCTCCAAGTTAACGCCAACGCCACCCGGTCTATTAAAGAAGAGCTCGCTGAGCATCATGCGGATAGATTGCCCGATGTCCCCAGGCATATCTTTCACCTTGGCAACGCGCGCGGTGCTGAGGGTGAACCATAGATCTTCGGTTTGCAAGTGTTCGTCAAATTCGGCAAAAGACCAGTACACAGCATCCATACCACGGTAGTCTTTGCCTTTCGCGAGAGGATCGCGCGGCGATGTACCATCGAAATAAAGGATGATCTTCCAAGGCGCAACTCAATAACATGGGTGATTTTGCAATTGTTGGCGCATCAATGACCTGAACGGCCCGCTTTTCTTGCATATGGCGTACAAGAACGCCCCTGGGTTACACACCCAATTCTCAAATGTGCCCCCATCGTTATCGTCGCCAACAGGCATCTGCATGCCATTCAATATAAGGCCAGATGCGTTAAGATCATTGACCACATGTTTCTCATATGCCCTATATTGGGACCCCCGCGAGACAGCGTATGGCAACCCATTGTCACGAACGTAAGTGAGCACGTGAGAAAATGCTGCCTGGGAAACATACGGGCCGCGGTGGGCCTCAACTAATGCCTCGGAGTGTGTTCGGGACCGCTTCGGCCGCGGACCCGACGCCATACCAGCCAAAATGCTTACGGACTGATGCGATATGCGATGACCGCAACGCAATCGACACGAGCGAGACAGGATGCGACGATCGCACCGTATTTGTTTTACACCACGGATGCACAAGCGAACCCATCGCTGCAACAACAAACAATGAGATGTGCTGGCCTACGACCGATCGCCGATGAACGCCAAGGCAGCGGACCACGCCTCAGCGCGCGAGCGCACGCCCGGGCCCCACTTGATCCTCTTGTCGCTCCGCCCCACTACGGGGCGATATACCTGATTGTCGTTCTGGGTCAGGACGTAGCCAGCCCTGTAGTGGAGGTTCCCCGCCTTCGCAGGCGGCGGCAGCACCTTCGGCTTCGCGACGTGGCTTGAGGGCTCCTTCGCGACGACCTTGCCCGTGCTATTGCCCGTGCTCTTGTTGCCTTCGCCGTGTCCCTTGCCTTGGTGCTTGTGTTTGATGTTTTTGCCCTTGCCCTTGCCCGTGCTCTTCGGCTGCTCTGCGTCCTCTGATGCATCTGCTTCGGCGGCATCGGCGACCGCGTCGCCAGCCGCGGCGGGGCGCTTGCGCGCGGCCGTCGCCGAGGCCGCCGCCTTCGCCTTGGTGGCGAGCAGCTTGCGCAGGGCGGCCTCGTCGTCGCTCAGGTTGGCATCGGGCTCTTCGTCGTCAACTGTTTGCTCGGCCGTCGCCGACTTGCCGAGCGTTGGCTCCTCACGAGGCGGAAGCTTCGCCTGTGGTGGCTCCAGAGGGCAGCCACCTGAAGATGCCCCTGTGTGCACCCCTGTAGACGCTCCTGCAGACCCAGCTGCATGTCTTCCATGGGGTGCCACATTGGCGAAGAGCGCCGCGGCCAACTGCTCCCCGACCATGTTCTGGTACATCTGCATCTGCCCACCAACCGTCACATCTGGCATCGCGGCCTTGGCGTGGGGGGGCGCGACGGGCTCAGCGGCGGTAGTCTTCCTGATCTTGCTGGAGGACCCCCGCACGAACTCGGGCTCGTCGGCGCCCATGTCCTCCATGCATGGGCCTTCGGCGTTGTCATGCGCCTCTCCCCACCATGCCTCGCTATGCATCTGGTCGATGGTGCCGTAACCCCAGATCGCCCTGTACCCGCGTTTGGCCCGCGCTTTCGCAGTGACAACTGCGCCCAACTTCTTCTTCACATCCTTCAATAGTTTCATCCACGCATCTGCATTGTCACATTTCCCAACGACATGTGCCACCACCGCCGCCACTCGCGCCTTACTTTTTTCCAGATAGCGCATGCGTGCCCATTAGCGCGGCACGGTTGACCACAATGTTTACACACGCCTTTTTTTTTTTTGTTTTTTTTTTTTTTTTTTTTTTTTTTTTCTTTTTTTCTTTTTTTTTTTTTTTTTTTTTTTTTTTTTTTTTTTTGTTTTTTTTTTTTTTCTTTTTTTTTTTTTGTTTTCTTTTTTTTTTTTTCTCTTTTTTTTTTTTTTTTCTTTTTTTTTCGTTTTTTCTTTTTTTTTTTTTTTTTTTTTTTTTGTTTTTTTTTTTTTTTTTTTGTTATATTTTTTTTTTTTTTTCTTTTTTCTTTTTTTTTTTTTCTTTTTCTTTTTTTTTTTTTTTTTTTTTTTTTTTTTTTTTTTTTTTTTTTGTTTTTTTTTTTTTTTTTTTGTTTTTTTTTTTTTTTTTTCTTTACTCCGGATAAGTCCCCCCCCCTTCAACTTAGCGGGCTCAGTCGCTGTGACGCATTTAGAGAAGATGGTTACCTCCTGCCACTTCTTAGAACCGCTGGTGTATCCCAGCAAGCCAGTCTTGTTACCAACGGCCGAACAAAGCTGGGCAAGCTCTCGCGAGCCCCAGTGGTCCAGCGCATTGTCTCGAATGGCATTCGCGAGGAGTGACGCGTCATCGGTGCTCAAGTTTCCCAGATTGTCAACTTTGAGGAGCAACTGGTCAAATTGACACTTGGCCACTGCGGCGGGAACCAACCCACGGCTTATCTGAGTGTGCACCCATTCGTGCATATGGTTTAGGTCAGCGATAAAGTTTGGCACGGACGTCATTGCGTGGCAAACGCAAGTAGATGGCGCGACAGATCGCGACGCGGCAAGTGGATATCGCGAACGTCAGACTCGCGAGCCAAATGGGATACGGATAAGATGCCAACTGCAACATCACATGCAATTGCAGGGCGGCCCGACCGCGGTGGGGGGTGCATGGGGGGGGGGGGGGGGGGGGGGGGGAGGGGCAACAATGGTGCAGCCCCCCGCGCCGTCGCCAATCGCCTTCATCCGCACATCCCCTCCCCTGCTTCGCTGTCGCCGTTACCACTCTGCGGCCAGACCGCAAACCACAAACGGGATCGCATGCAATCATGCGCATGGTGTTAAATGCAACAGATGCAAGATAGTTCGACACACGACGCACGGCCTTACAGCTTGCATTTCTAATGCGCGATCCGACTCGGGATCAGGCCACGCCCATGGACTTCGCATGCTCAAGCCATGCGACTGCGACGCTGTGCGACTCGATCGCAGCCTCACGGTCCAGAATTGAGTTCACCCACTCATCCTTCGCCTTGAGGAACGCGGCGTAGTCGACATCTGCCTGTTGAGGCTGCTGGGGGTCAGGGTGGGGGATGGCCGTTGTTATGGGGCGGGAAACTTAATTAGCAATGCGTTCTTAACCACATGCATGCCTTCTTGGTCAGTGTTTTCACACGGGGGCGAGTTGACGCCACATCCTTGTTCGCAGCCTTGACAATATCTTTCTTCTGGCGAGCCCGCTCCTCGCGCTCCTCCCTAAGCTCATGGCGAACCTGTGCCTCCATCGCCTTCTGCTTGGTGGACTTCACCATTGCAGCCAGAACAGTTTACGTGCAAGGGCCTGCGCGCGCACACACACACACGCACACATTGGGCCACTATGCTTACGAAAGGCTCGATCCACGCCGTCGCGCCGCCCTATAGGCCCCACTGGCGTGCAACCCCACATGTGCATGACGTTGCATTTTTTGCACGCAGCGCCACAAGCGATACGATGACTGCGCCTGCACGCATGGGCTACCCTAGTAGCTACCCCGCTACCCTGTAGCGATACCCCGCAACGCTGCTAGAGCGCACTACGCGACGCCAAGGGCCTTGCGGTCCCCTGCCCGCGTGAGGCCACCCATTGCAACGAGGCGATCAGTTGCACGAATGTGCACATTCCTCCACAGCTCTGCCTCATGCAAATCCATGCGGAGCACCTCCTCGGCGGCCTCCGCCTGTCTCGTGGCTCGCTCCAGCTTCTTGAACGCCGCATCTACCTTTCGGGGGGGGGGGGGGGGGGTGGATATGGCGTGAACGCGACCCCGCCAACCCACGCCTGAAAACATTCAAACCTTGTAACGCACGAATCGATTGGGGTGTCGAATCGAATCACAGCAACGCAATACAATATGATTCGTACACGTGTGTATCAACACACACACGCCCATGCAACGTAATGCAAGTCAGTATAGTAGCTAACACTACTATACATAAAGACTACATAACGAGCCCAAGCTTCTTGTCGTTCTTCTTCGCCTGTGATTTAGTGTATTTCACGTGCCTGAAGGTGGCCGTGGGCGTGGCTTTGGAGTCCGCCTTGTCATCGCGACGGCGTTGCGCCCGTAGTACCTTGAGTTGGGCGGGCATCGCAGGCATGGCGTGCACAACGGCGCGCAGACGCCTCGCGCGAGAGAGACGCGCTTCGCGTGCCACAACGGCTACGGCCGATAAGCATATTGCGACTTAGTCGCACAATGCAATATCACATGATGTATCCCCCCTCTCACATTCGCACCGCCGTCGGCACCGACGCCGTGGTTTGCCGCCGCCTCGCATCATCATCACCACCGTCACGGTCGTCATCGTCGGCATCCTCATCATCATCATCATCATCGCTCGTCGTCATCACCATCATACTCATCATCGCAATCCGCCCCTCTTCCCCGCCGCAGCATTCGTCGTATGCCATCCTGGAGATCCTTCCACCACATCAACGTTGATCGCCGTCCCTCCACCCGCCCTCTCATTCGTTGCGCTAAGTTTGAACCGCCTCCCGTGCCACGCATCCTGTCCGTCCGCGCTCTCCTCGCCATCGTTATCTCATGCTCCCGCTCGCGGCCGTCGCCGTCGCCACCGTCGTCGCCGTCGTCGCCGCCGTCGCGCCCCGACCCCCCTGGCCGCGGAGGGGGCGCGCGCAGGACGGCGCCGCTCTGGAGGGGGTCGGCGCACGACGGCGCCGCCGACGACGACGACGACGACGACGACGGCGACGGCGATGACGACGGCGACGAGGAGGACGGCAACGGCAACCGCGACGGCGGCGGCGACGGCGGCGGCGATCACGAGGGCAACGCGGCACACCACAACGAGAAAACGAGATGACACGGGGCGGGGGGGGGCACATGAGCTCGAGCGAACGAGGACCTGGATGTCTGATAGCGCCGATTGAACACTGGGAATGGGACGAGGCGGTGGAGGAGAGCTGGTGACGATGGCGACGGTGGCGATGGTGGTGGTGACGGTGGCGACCGACGACGACGAAGACCGATTGCGGTGGTGGCGATGACTATATTGATGATGAGGCGATGAGGTGACGACGGGAAACGAGCGGCGGAAGATAGAAGCACCGAGGGAAGGACGATGGACGGATGATGAGCGAACGCTGGAGGGCGACGATGGACGGGCGATGGGGGCAACACCAGAGGGGCCATGGAGGACGGGCTGCGGGGGCGATAATGCGAGGATAATGCTGCACTTTTTTTTTTTTTTTTGCGGCTCGTTGCCCCTGTGGCGGTGTGTATCTGCGCACACGCCGTGGGGCCGATAACTATCATCGCGTCCACTTAAATTATCCACAGCAGGTGCACACCTGTGGATTCTAGGCAAGACGTCAACTACAGGAGCGGGAGGTGTATACTATCAACTGATCACGAACGACCCCAAATGCAAACCCGTCGACCGACATTTCACCCCTGGGATGATCCAAGGCCGCTCAAACCGTCGCCACCAGGACTCACCACCAGGAGACTGTGATCCGACCACCCCCGCTGTCGTATATGAGAAACTCATATACGACAACTTTGTCGTATATGAGAAACTCATATACGACAGCGCTGTCGTCAACACTATCACGCCGAGTTAGTCGCATATGGGTTTCTCACATACGACAGCGCTGTCGTATATGAGTTTCACATATACGACAACAGAAGGAGAGGAGGGGGGAAACTGTTCTCGCAGTCGCGATTGCGAAGAGATCTGGAGGCAGCGCGTGAGCCTAGAATTCGCGATGCTCTGCCGCGACCGTAGCTGTAGCCCTCGGCCGCCGTCGTGGCAGCCCAAAGCCGCCTGTCGCTGCAGCCCTTGGCCGCCGTCGTGGCAGCTCGTGGCAGCCCTTGCCGCCAGTCGCGGCAGCCCTTGCCGCCGTCGTGTCAGCCCGTGGCCACAGCTGTAGTAGCCACCGACGCGGCCCTTGCCACCGTCGCGGTAGCCACTGTCCTACGACAAGTTGGCATCGCGCCACGCGCGCTGGGCCTCCCTCCACACATGCGCGTGGAGCCTCTTGTTCCACTCGATGTACTTCATCTGCTGATAGTCGTAGCCATCGAAGCCCTCGACCAGCTCTTTCACCGCCAGGGCCTTGGCGAGGCGGATGTGCTTGCCACCGCGCCGCCGCGGGACGTAGTAGTCGTCGTCGCCGCCCTTGTGGCCGCTGCCCTTGCCACCATCGTAGTAGCCCT